ATATATATATATTGACGTAAACCAAAGATCTCAAAATATTCTAGAGATGCGTGAATGAAGTAGACAAGCAATGGAGGCCAAAAATTATTCTGAGAAAAAGCAGAATGAGGATGCTGATGATATGGGAATTCGTTAACGAAATAGTGCACACAGACAGTGAGGACAATATCGACTGGGATCTCAGCTCTGACAACAAACACAACAAAGACATCGAAGGAAATAGCAATAGCGATGGCGGTGATGGGAATGACAGTGATGAGGCTGAAGATAACATACCTGACGAACGCGGTCTGCCAAAATTGGTACCCTGGGACCGTCCAATAAACCGCGAACATGAGTACGATCATACACCTGAGAACATTGTAAACGGATGTATCGGGGAGGAAGAACTGCATCCGCATAGAAAATTTCCCAAGCTATGCTCGGGTAAAGTTGTATTGCGATACTCTTGCTGCCAAAATGGGAGTTGTTCTATGTAGCGGCGCAGACTTGAAGCAAGGGAATGGGGTATTGAGTTCCAATAGAAGCGGTACAACCGCAAAATTAGCGAGGCGCCAAGAGATGAGGAGAAAGAGAGTAGAGCAGGAAACCAATCAAGCTCCAGTTCACCGCACTAGGCATTCCATAAAATGTGGTTGCAAATTCAAGGTAAGCAAGTTATGCCTAGCATCGCGCACTGCTGTTATGCCTAGCAATATCACGCACTGCTGTTATGCCTATCAATATCGCGCGCCGCTGCTATGACTAACTTAATATTATTTTATTTATTCAGTTTAGCTTTGTGTTTACGAGCGCACCGCCGGGTTTTGAGGAAACTCCATTTACAGTTGGGTATAAATATGGCGGTTGGGTCGCGCCAAGCACCCATCATTTAATACACGCTGGTGGATGCAGTCCCATTGATGATCATGCAACTGTATCATTTGTAGCCAATGGGAAAAGCGAGGTAGGTAGCTAAGCTGTTCAGAAAAGGTATATATTTTGGAAGTGGGCTATAAAGGTGTTCGAGAGAGGTGTGCGAGAGAGAGAGAGAGAGGCGAGAGAGGTGTGCAAAAGAGGTGAACTCTAATACAATTCATTACCAAGTTATATGCTTGCAGACGAAGAGCGTCCTAGTTAATATGGCCTTGCGCAAATGTCCAACGAACGAGTTCCAAAAAAATATTTTGTCGCTGCATCCAACGGAGGTATCCGTCACATCCCAGACTATACATAGCATCAGAGTCGTATGTTTTCCCAAGAGTCTTTGTCATAATGATTTTTTTTATAATTCACCATACTTGGTTTAGATCACCTGTCACGTGCTAAATATGAACTTATATACTTCATTTTATATTCAGAACGCAGCCAAACACGCAATAATATTTAAGATGAGCCAGTAACTCTTTAACGACGTTAATACCTTGCCATGTTAGATAAAGAGATCCAGCACTTATGTACCTCATGAGGGTATTTCGGACGAGTACGTCGAGGAGTTTGTGAAGATGACGGAAGAGCTATGAATGCGTAAGTATCTTATAGGTAAAAACTATATAGGATACTAAAATAACAATTCTAATATATAGTAATCACTCTAATGCTCCCTCCAATGCTTCTTTCTAATGCCCACCTCTGATGCTCCCCTCTATTGCTCCCCTTTAATGCCCACCTCTGATGCTTACCTCTAAAGCTCGCCTCTAAATCTTCACCTCAGGAGCGACAGTCTCAACTCGCAATCCATGGATCCTAATCTGTATGTACTAACACTGCGCGACGAAGCGACCAGCGTTTTAAATATGTTCTTTGGATGACGAATACTATGCGAAAAAAATATGTAACTTTGGTCGTATAGTCAGTATGGATACCCGCCATAAAGGGAACAACGATTGGAGATGGCAGATATCTATATTTGTAGGGCCCGGCAACGACGAGAAAATCAAGTACTTCGGTGTTATGCTGTTCTATATGGAGACCAAGAATATATATAGGTTTGCATTAGATTCTCTTCAGAAATCAAGCGAGGAGGGGCTTTGAAAACTGAGTCAGTTTTCGCCGACGGGTTTTTGAGCCAGTCCGACGTTAGAAGGCTAGTTTTATTTTGCTGATAGGTACCATACATGGCAGACTATCAGTAAGACCTTGGTAGGTACCACAGTGGGAGGGTGAAAGTGGCGTTGGACAAAGCTATGCACGCAACAACGCAACACCTATGTGACCATTACCTTGATATTGTCATTGGTATACTGTCAGAAAAGAACTCTACTACAAGGGTGAGATTCTTGAATAAGATGAAGCAATATAGTCAACACATGTGTGACTATGGTCTAGCGACAAGTATACAATGGGATCTTAAAGGATCACAGATTAGTGAATCTTCAAACTCACAACTGGAAGCGTGGGTTAAGTCATTGGTACTTACAATGCTTAGACTTTTCAAAGGCATAAGTAAAATCGCTAGTCAAATGCATACACACACTAGACTAGCAAAAATCAATATAGGGGGGTGGGGTGAAGGCGACAAGCCTAGATTCAACGAATCTATTCATATCGCACAGTGCCGACAGTGGGGCCCCCAACTATGTACCGAACGTTTTTCAACGGAGGTAAATAAGGCCAGATCTTATTCTGTGCATTCCATAGACGAACTGGCGAATGATACTATCTCCTACAAGTGCGCTTACATCGAAAAAGAGGACCAATCGCGAACCGTTGTATAGACGGGAGAAAGGTAATCGTTCACCTATGTAGAGTTTGAGAGTAGCAAATAAGATACGACCAGAAGAAACAATAGACCTCTTCTCAGGTGCGAATCCTACAGCTAGGTAAAAGTCCTAGGCTGAAGGACTCGCATTGAGTCTTTATTTGTGTTTAGCAATTTCTACACTAGACTCAATATCTACTTAAGTGTTTCTCTCACACGCGGGAGTCCCGGTATCATCTACCGGTATTCCCGATATATTTCTGGTCACTCTTATCATCAGAAATATTGGATCCTAGAACGAAAACTCAGTATTTTGTAATCCTGGGTTTTGGGTTTAGGATTGGCTTTTCTGATTATCTGGCTCCTGGATGCTACACCTCTCATGTGCCCCTCTCTCGTTCACCGCTCATGCACCCCTCTCTCGCTTATCTACTTTCCTACCTCAGGTACTTATGCACATGTGGAGATTGGAATCAATTCAAGATTCCATGCAGACTCATTGTGCCCGTATGTCAACACCTAGGTACACCTTTGTTCAATCAGGCGTACTTCGACACCGTCTAGAAGTTCGACATAGAGAATTCTAAGGATATTAATTTCCCTATGATCGACGAAAGTGATGTAGAAAACTTCGACTATGACACGATTGGAAAGGGCGTGGGCAACAACTCTTCTGATGGTGCTAGCGATAGAGATGACAGTAGTAGCATGATTCGGATGGGAGTGGCGGTCCAGAACTACCACCACAACACGGGGATAAAATCGCGTAAGAAATCTAACAAATTTGATTTCCATCTTATGACCGCTCGTCATCTTTTGTCACTGATATTAGACTCAATAACGTCAAGTAACATGCCCACCATATGCAGTGTTTCCTGGGTAGGGTAGTAGCATACATAGGATGTGCTTTCCACGATCCCTACCGGCCAAAGCCAGTACTAGCTACATTGAGATACAACGATACAGGGGAGAATACGTACACATTATATCTCACTATACCACAGTTACTGATTTCAGGGGAGCGTCAGGAAATAATGCAAGTTATCAAATGTTGGATTGGAAGAATGTCACCCAGACGTGTAGCATAGTAGAGTACATACCCTCCACTGGCAGGTTTAGCATATTTAAGTATCTGCGTACATCGGGTTTGTAACATGACACAAGTGCAGCATCTAGGTTAATATTCTGTAACACAATTAAAAGCAAACCTCGTATACGGAGCTCATCGATGGTGCCTTGAAGCACCACGCCAGCACTTCACAATATACTTCCTTAAAATACCCTCGGCCCACTTGCCACTGTTCTCGGGCTGTAAGTAGAAGTGTAATGGAGACGCCCTGGCTGATTAAGTTGGTGTACTCGTGTTTGACGATATACTTGTACAACTGTAAGACCCTGTTTTGGTTTGGTTTTTAAACCATGCTAAGTGTGATGGTTGTCGCTACCATCCTCCTATTCAAAGAAGCGTTATAATATTACAACCTATATTATAGAAAGTATTTAACAACGGCTTAATCACTGATATAGATAGATGTTTGCAAATCGGATATGTAATACGCAGTGTTGCCAGCACATCAAATATTTGACCCGTAGTTTCATTATATGTTTGATGGTGCACAATACCACCCTACTTATACAATACATGTGGATTCGTTAAGTCTCTCATCATCTTTTTGTCACTGATGATAGACTCAAAAACGTCAGATAACATGTCCGCCATGTGCAATGTTTCCTGGGTAGGGTAGTATATTCACTTCCGACATAGTGTATCTATCAAATCGCTACGGCATTCCAAAAATTACTTATGTAGTAAACTATGTGAATGACTAAACCAACCAACCTATCTGTCTTCCTCTCCTCCAGTTCGGTACCTCGTGTACTGAACTCTAACCCAATTGGACCTTACATACACCCCCTGGGACGTGAAGCAGTTCCATCAGCGGTCCTCCGTCGTCACACGTTTTCTTAATCGTTGCAAATCAAACATAAAAATGTGGCCTCAACTACGCAACTTGTTGAGTATAACATATAGCACTAGGTGCATAGTAAGTAAAAGGTCGTATCCAGTGGTATACCAACTGGTCTCGCCTGAAAATGTAGGCAAAAGATATACATTTGTGTTGTTCACCGCTCCTCCGACTGGCCCAGCCTGATGCTCTCTTGCTGCTTCAATTTGCACGTGTTAATACACTTGGCCCTATACTCCTGGTCCCTGGCAAAGTGATATCTCCACCGTATGGCACTGTGCCAATTCTTTACATGACGGTCACCAATGTGCTGAGCTGCAAGCTCGCCATCCCGCTGCTCGAAGCCCAGAGTACGCGCATACTGATGTTTATGGGTCAACGTTATCCATCTGATCCAATAAGTATTGGTTTGGCTTTGCCACTGAGCCACCTCGGGGCAAGTGGTTGACGTCTCAACCACCTCATCTATTTCCTCCGCAGAAGCGCCCTTAAACTCGCTCTCATACATAAGCCAGTTCATATACACCGTTGCGTTCAGACAACGGTGAGCCTTACCGCGCTCCGGTTCACTCAAAGGGACGCGGTGCGCCCTGATGTCCGCGACATGTAACGTGTACAACTTGCCAGACGACCGCATCCTGACAACATGGTACACAGGGGGGTCCATACACTCAGGCTGCACTTATGCGGCTCCTTTGCTTGGAGAGACATAGCGACTTGTCCAACCGCAAACATGGGCAAATCGACTCGCGGCCCTAGCTTGTGCCAGCTGTGTCTTGGCAACAATTACCCAAGCTCTGCGGTCAGTATCCGTGGGTTTGGGCTCCAACAAGTCCAGCGTAGCTACATCCTCCATGTCCTGTCGGAGAATGTCGATCAGGTCCGCATCAGCATAATGGGAAAACACTAGTTCAGTAGTGGCCAGTGTGTAGGGCGCCATACCTGTCGTGGACGAGCGAGTAGAGCTGTATGCTGAAATAAACTCAGCAGCCGCGTTCCGGCCACGCGGTTTTTAGCCCCTGTGGTAAATAACGTGACAACCACCGATTGCGAGTGCGGCACAATACCTCCACTTAATCATCGCCTTGGTGGCGGTCTTTCTGTACCGGGTGGATTGAGATGTTCCGGCTGAAACACCACGAAGTGAGCGCGCTCGCCAACATTGGGCTGTCTCCATCAACGACCAACCGCCGTGGCCAGCCCCAATGCACTACCTGATATTCCATGCACCGCTTCGCCTTCTCGAACGTGTGTTCATGTCGACGCATAGGCCTCCCTGCTGCCAAACGCGACACCTTGTCAATACCGAGCAAAATGAAATTATACCTGTAAGCACTTCGTGCATGATGGTAATAATTCTTTTGCGATGCGGTCGCAAATACTCGCGCCCGAGGTCGCTGACACAGCAGACCTTTGCACAAGCCTAACTGTGTGCCCCGACGTGCGATGCAAATGGTGCAAGTATCCACCACGTCCGCCAACAGGTCTTTGGAAACACTACATCCCACCTTGCCTTGAATTAATCCGCGCAAGCGGGTGAACCGTGCACACGTATGCGAGTAATGCAAGGACCAAATGCCTTCGAGCACTACCCGCGGTATAAGTTTCACACCCCGCACCGTAGTATTTATTGCCTTCAGCTCATCCGATACTTCCTGAAGAGCATGCGATAGCTTCCGACGCTTCCGTAAAGTCACAACCTACTGAATTCCCACAGTAACACTTGGGCCATCGTCAGCAACTGTTCCGACACTGTGTACGGCCGTGCATGTTGAAACACATACCTCACGGCTGTATGGTCTTTCGGAAGCACGTCTACATCCAGACCCTTGTCATCCACAGTGCTGCCTGTCATTTCACTTATCTGGTCCTGCTGACTCCGTAAGGCCTGCAATTGATCCTCGGACCAGTCAAGGGCGTCATGAAGTGGGTCCTGAATCATTCGCTCGTGGTCGCCTTCGATGATGTTCATCTCTCTCTTACTCGTGTATTCCTGCCAGCTACGCTCCTTCTCCGCAAGGGCATCGTCAATCGTGGCCTGTTCCGCCGACAGCATATCATGCATACAGAGCATAGGGCCTGAAGAAGCCTCATCGCGACCTCGAGGGAGGAGAACGTCACGAGATATTGCTGGGTGTCGCTGGGCCTATCAGCCCTACCCCATGTTTCTGACAACAGTATATCCATACGGGCTGGCCTCGTGCCGGCCAAGATGTCCCTGAGCTCCTGGGATCCACCTAACGAACTCTGCTCCGGCATGTCTGGTTCCGTGCTAACCATAATATCACTGAGTGCATTACTCGTACCCGACGTACTCGTCGAGCTGTCTAGATACACTGGACCAGCAATAACCGGACCGCGCTCTTCGTCATTATCACATGAAGGTATGCGAGTGACCTCACTTATCCGCCGATGCAGTCAGCTGCTCACCGAGCGCCTCCTCCGGCTCCCGCAGGGCCACCCATATGAACTAGACCTGGGCCTTCTCTTGATCTTCCCCGGCCACCCCCACTTTCCTAAGAAACCGACGCACGGTATCTTCATCGGTCGTATTGAACGCGGAGCCATGCGTGGGACGGTAGGCCCCGGCAAATTGCGCACCCCATAAAGTCGGCTCAAGAAGCCCAGACGGAGCCAGAAGTGTAGAGACGAATACTGTAGGCGGATCGATGCAGTCGCTTTGCAGAAGGCCGACCAGTGTACACCCCCAAGAAGGTACCACCAAAGGCTGACCGTTGCCACCAAAGAACGTGCCGTGCTCTGGTGGTATCACCATGAGCACCCCATTCAGAGCATCGCATAAAAGGTAGAGAACCAGGTTGCCTGGTCCACACTGGCACCGCCATGGCCGTCTGAGCCACTGCAATCGACTGCAAATAGTCTGAGAACAGAGTCATCCCAAGAAGAATTGACCAAACAGAAATCTCATCCAAAGGCACAGTGTAGGCACTCACCCACCATGTGCCTCCTCCAGGTTCAAATGCATAGTCAGTGAAGTGAGCAATCCCCGTGCTCTCGAACCGGTTCCTTTCCAGGTCTGGCCACCTTTCCTTGACCCGAGCAATCCACTTTAGATTCAGCCTCTGCGCCCCCCTCTCGCGGGTCACCTGGACTACTCGGAATCGTCGTCGTCCAACGACCAGTCGGATAGTGGTGTCGACAGGACATCATGTGGCTCCGCCTATTTCGAAAGCTGAATATTTCAACGAAACACATTTTTAAGATACTCCCGAGTGGCTGATAATAAACTGGCTAGTACACTTACGTGTACAATTTTTGAAATTACACTTAAATATTACAGCTTTTACAGGCATAGCGTTATTCATTTAAAAGTGAATATTTCAATGAGACGCACTTAAGTGCTTATTATAGCTTTTAAAATCTCAATATATTAGTATATTGACCGAACACATTTAGAAGTGTCAAAATTGATCAATTTGCACCTACGTGTTGATTCATTAGCTGTCAATTATAATATAAGCACTTACGAGTAAGATTATAATTACTACTCGCGTAAAATTTAACCATAAATAAAGCTGCCAAATTTACATAAGCAGTTACGTGCCGATTTACAAATTGCAATTACGTGCGATTTTAGAATCAACTTTATTTACTATAAGTTTATTAGTACACTACGTAAATGTATTTAGTCTACACTGGTGTAGACTGAGGAAATTCAGATATCGTATTAAGTATACAAGCAAGGGACTCGTTCTGAGCTTCTTCATTTTGAAGCATGCCTCCTAAGAGGCAGGTTTTAAAGAAGAAGAAGCCAAAAAAGCCCCCAGCAGCTAAACCTAACCCGCCTAAGCGAATAGAATATTCGTCAAAGACCTTTCTTAAGAAAGCCATGTCTTAGAATGCAGATAGTACTTCTAAAGAAGCAAGTGCTCCTAAAGAAGCAAGTGTTTGTAAAGAAGCAAGTGCTTCTAAAAAAGCAAGTGCTTCTAAAGGAGCAGATGTTACATTAACATCAAATGTTATTAAAGTAACAGGTGCTTCTACAGCATCATATGATGGTAAGGTATCACAAGTTGCTAAAGCAACGGGCGCTTCTACAGCACCAAATCCAGTAATGGACACTTGTCCTGGAGAGGGGTGAAGTAATGGGCCAAAGGCTTACACGTGGCAAGTCTAAAGAGGCTGCTAGTTCTTCAAAGAACATCGATGCTGATAGAACTTCAGATACTGATTAGGATCAACCTTTAAAGGCAACTCATCGTATAGCCTCTAAAGGTCAAATTTCACTATTTTCAGATAGTGAAAAGGAGTTAACTCCCGAACACTCAAAGACTCGAAGTTCAGTAGGGGGCAGCTCTGCAGAAATGCAAAGCATTGAGCACTTTAATCCTAAGACACCTAAATCAAGCCATGATGATTCAATGAAATCTATTCGAGCAGGAGATAGTTAGGAACATATCTTCTTGAGAGGTACAACCTCGTGTATAGTCTAAGACTGACAAAGGACTGGAGAGTTCTAAAACAAGTGCTTTACAGCACAGTTGGGCGTCAGAATCTGATGATGATGACAACGGAGCAGGAAATGCTTCTACACGCCGGAATTGGATTCCGGGTACAACACATTCGACACATTCGAAACAAGATAACAGCACGAAATCTATGGATTCTGCTGAAGTTTTGTTTCTACCTAAAGCTAAGGCTCCACAAGCAAAAGCTAGTACCGCTAAAGCTTCACAAGCAAAAGCGCCAGTAGCTAAGGCTACAAAATCTGATGCTACTAAAGCCAAGTCGTCAAAAGTTAAGACTTCTAAAGTCAAGACTACGGCTACGGCAGATAAAGGCAAAAGAAAGGTTACTGTGCATGAAGATATATAAAGACCTACTATCCTCGTACAGGGACGCATACATACTGACCATGATGATCGAAGCGGTCAATCAGTCAGGTCATCCTCAAGGATGAAACGACGTTACGATATAGATCGTGATTTACACCAAAGTGGAACATAGTGGACATTTAAATGTTTCACTAGAATCTCATATACCATCATCAGGTCACTTAAGTGATTCTTATGTTGAAACAGAATCAGCCTCTAAGCGACGGTATTTACAGGTTTTACAACCACTTGCTATATTACTCGAAGATCTTGAAGATACAAGATCTGAATATGTACCCGGAACAATCGAGTATAATTCAGCATATATCCCGTACTAATCTCATGTGAGAGATAGAGATGAGACATAAACCACTACAATCGTGCAGGAGAAATGCAGAAACGCATTGAATTCTACACGAGAGAAGCTAAATCTTGCCAATCAACATGTCGAATACCTAAGTGATCGTTCATGGACAAGATCTGCCAAGGACAGAGAAAGTCCTTCGACTAAGTTAAAGACATCTTTGAAAGGAAATCAAGCAGACTTTTCAAAGATCTTTGCAGCGTTCAAGACGTTGCAAATGATGAGAGAAGAATGGGCTATTTAACACGTTTCCATTTAAGAGTACTATGCTGTGTTAACGTATATATTGATGCCGGGAAGTAATGAAGAAACCTTTCTGCATGGTGAAAAAGAAAGGCTATTAGCAGCTAGAGATGCAGACTGACCGTTTCTTCAACATTGTTAACGAGATAGCTTGCAGTGACAAAAGACTACCTCTATCGAGATAGCTTGCAGTGACAAAAGACTACCTCTATAATTTAGTATGCTAGACGGAGGCAGTTTGAATGTCCCAATTAAAACTTTTGTACTAGACTAGGAAATTAGTTTTAACATGACGTGGGCCAAGGGTCAACGCAGAACGTTAGAAATAATGTTTATGCACGTGATTTATAATCGTATGAATAGAAATTCACGACAAGAACGTCTTAAGTGATTAAACACTAAAACTGAGAAACTGTCGTCTGACTCATTTGACTTTGAGTGGGATATGTTTGTTAAGGCTTTCACAGTGTAACTAAGAAGTCTTCAGAGACTCGTGCGTCTACGTCAATGTCTAGTAGTAGTGCTAAAAAGACAAAACGTATGCGGCAGTAGCTCGTGGACGAGCAACAACTGCAAGCGTAGCCAAAAGGTTATAACACCAGATATCGTGTGTTGAATGTGAAAGTACTGTATACCAAAATAAGCCTAAACAGAACTTCTTTGGTAGGCACAACGACTCTTGTAAATACGCTCAAGAGACAAGGGACTATCTCATCATTGATACCACGTGGTAACGGTTAAACGAATAATGAAGACGAACGTATTATGTGTTACCAGTTTTCGATAACGGAATAAAGGTTAATGCGTTACTTGATCTCGGTTCTCAAATTTCTTGTATCTTACATCGTATGACACTTATGTGTGACATGGAAACATCTTTAGAGAATACGCATATTGTTATGCCGAATGAGAAAGAACTTGTATGTTATGAGAAAGTCAATGATATAAATATCACATTGTTAAATCATCGAATGGTTCAAACCGATCTAGTAGTACTATAGATGTATAAACAATATAATTGTATCATTGATATGGGTGATTATTATCTTTTGGGCTCACTCTTACGGGTCTACCAACCGAAGTGGATCCTATAATGAACCAGTCTGACGATAATATATTAAAGAAACCGTCGCCAACAAATCAAAAGATTAAGGAATAAATTCCTGATATTGTTGTAGAGTGTATAGAGCAGCTGAAAGATACGAGTCGAGGATACAATAAACCACTTCTCAAGTACGGTAATCTCAGCTAGGGAAAGTCCCTAGTCTGAGAGAACCGAACTGAGTCTTTATCTGTGTTTTCTAATTTATTAGACTCAGGATTTTACTTGAGTGTTTCTCTCTCACGCAGAGTCCCGGTTAGTTTACTGGTTCTACCGCTAATATTTCTAACTTTAATATCAAGAATATTCCAATTCTAATTCCAAAACTCAATATTGCATGATTCTGAAGTTATGAGATTTGAATTGGCTTGTTGATAATTTGGTCCCTAGATGCTACAGCTCTCCACCTTTATGCTTCTTAGCCTGCGCAGGAGTAGAAAGACATCTTACAGTACTAGATTAATTAGAGGTTGGTTTTTTGTACAGGGAAAACTTGTCCCTTAGAGGGCATAAGATGAAAAACCTGCCACTATTATCTATTCTTACATATTACCGATTAAATAAATTTATACTATGGCAGGAGTTCTCTACCTGTACGCTCATCGCAGTCAGTCTTGACCGGTGCTCTCGGTCGATCTCAACTTGGCTTAAGAAAACGCTTCTCAACGGTGACTCTCCAGTCGAGTTTTTAGTCATTGTCCCTCTGGCGTGTGTGGGGGGGTATGCTTCAAGGCGAGAAAAGTGGGAGTGTGCCGTGGTATCTGTGAGACTTGCTTAGGTCCCTCGCCTCGTGCGCTTTCTGTTGCTCGCTGATCTTTCATCAGTGCTCGTCGTGGCTGGCTTCTTTGGCCTTGACTGTCTTTGTTTGCGTCGGTGGCGTTGACGGTGTGTAGTATTGACATCAGCATCTGTGATATCTGAGTCATGCGTCCAGGTACGCTCCCCATCTGTCTATTGCAGTAGGTACTCCTAGGATCCATCACCTCGGATGGACGGCCTGTCGTCGACTATCGAGGAGAACTGAGTCTCCTCGTTAGGTTGTACGTTATTATTGGTAAATGCTTCCGAAGCAACGGCCCTTCTTACAAGTCCAAGTAGCTCATCACTGATCGAGTCAGGATATTCGGGGGCTCTAGTCCCATCAAGGTTACAGACAAAATACCCGTTGCCCTCCCTGCATACTATTTTGTATGATCCGCCATTTGGTTGTTTATTTCACCTTGGTAGCGAACCATGACAAGGTCCCCTTCTTAGAAGTTTACATTCTTCTTTTGATATTTTCGATCGTATGCTGCGCGCATCTTCTCTTGATATTGTGCAACATTATTGTCAAGTTGTGGCCTGATGGCCTCTTATAGATTCTGCAATCGCTCTTCCCAAGATACTGTTGTACTGGGTGCGGTCACTGGCTCATTTTCTATTTGCGACCAAAGTACACGTTAAATCGTGGTGACTTGTGCCTTCTTGATGTACGCAGATTGGGCCCATCTGTACGAATGGAAATCGGGAACACCCGTTACCTGAATTTTGCTCAACGAATTTCCCTAACAGTGGCATGAGGTCTCTGTGTGATCGTTCGTTCGCGCCTAAGATCTTAGGTTGATACGGCCGAGAAACTAGGTGTTGCATTGGCGCTTGTTCAACAGCTTTCGAAAGTATGTTGTTAACATATTCAGTGTCTTGGTCAGTTTGTATGATTTGTGGGAATTCATGTTCACTCATGATTGGTACCAGCGTGCGTGCTATAGTAGCCGCTGACTAGTCCATCATTGGACGTAATATGACATACGGTGAGTGTACATCGAACCATACTATCACATATGTGTGTCCTCTGTTGGAATCCAATAGTGGCCCTACGGTGTAGACTTGGACTCTGTCGCCTGGAAATGCGGTCGTGATTGAATGTAAGGGATGCAACTTTTTGTGTATCTTATTTTGAAGACATGGTATGCATCCATCAATGAACTTGTGTATATGTTGTTGGATTTGGGGCCAATCATGTTCATCTGTTTGCAACTTGTTTGCCGTTTCCTCAGGAGTGTAATGTTCCAAGTTGTGGTATTGCTCGATGATGTTGACACGTGTCTCGTATTCTATTGCCTGTGGTGTATCTCCAGAGTGAACTGGTTCTGATGCTGAAACGTGTATGGCAGGTTGTTCCCGCGTTAAGTCAAGGTATGGGGACTTCACTCCTATCTTTGAGACTAATGTGATACCCCCATGCTGGTTGCCTGTTCAATGACTTTGTCAAGGACATCAGGTATGAGTTCCCATGGTGGGTTCGCCTATACATTCACTTCCTGCGCCCACTTTTGTTGTAGCGCATTTTGTTCTTTGGTATAGTATTTACCTGTGCGTGCAAGGTCTGCCTATGCAAACAGATCTACTGTGAATTTTCTAAACCGTCGTTCAGCTTCTTGTAGAATCTGGGGTGTAACATCCAGTCTATGGCTGATATGGTTGTGGGCATGTTAGTTTCTAAAATGGTGTGCTCTTGGGTGTTGTGTGTTGTATCGTTTACTTCTTTTAATACCTTTGAAGTTTTAGTAGTAAAAGTGTCTTCGTGTAGACGTGAGAATATATCTGCCATCTGGTTGTCCTTGCCTGGGACATGTATGATGGAGAAGTGGTGGTGGAATGTTTTTGCTATCCATTTGGCTAGCATTGGGTGTAATGTCTGTTGACTGTTCGTTTGCGTGAGCGCTTTGTGATCTGTCCACAGTGTTATGTCCCCTCCCTTGATGTAGTCGGATAAATGTTCCAGGCTGTATACCAGTGCTAGTAGCTCTTTAGTATTTGTGCCATCATAGCGTTGTTGTGCTACATGCAAGCCTTTCGAGAAGTAGAGGATGTCTCTTCTAACCCCATCGATGACTTGAAATAAACGTCCTCCTATGCCATAGTCATTAGCATCATTCATTATTTGAAACGGTACCCCATCAACAGGGTATACTAATGCCACTGAAGAGGCGATGGCTTTTTTGAGTTCCTCCCACTTCTTTTTGAGTTCCGGAGTCCATAACATGGATATATTCTGGTTCATTTTTTCTTTCATTAGGTTCCGGAAGTGTTTCGTTGTGTGGGAAAAATTTGGGATATGGTCGTGTATGTAATTTGCTAGTCCCACCGCTTTGTGCAGATCTCTTTTTGTACTGGGGAGTGGCCAGTCCATCATTCTTTTCTGTTTTTCAGGATCTGCTTTGAGTCACTGTGTGGTGACTTTCACACCTAAAATAATGACCACTTTGATCGCGAAGGCACGCTTGTTGTGATTGAGTAAGAAGTTTGCTCTATTCAGTCGCTTGATTACTTCACGAACTGTCTTGCGGTGTTCTTCTTCTGTAAGACTCGCAATTACTATGTCAACTACATAAGCTTGCACTCCGTTGATGTCTATGAGCAAATTTGCCATGACTCTCTGGAACTGTGCTGTGAATAAGTGTAGTCCGAACGGCTCTGACTTGAATGAGTATTGCGCTCCCTACACGAATATGTGAAGAAGTAATGACTTGCTTCAAATGGTGAAATCCTCCTGTGAGATCTAGCTTTAAAAGAACTGTACTTCTTGTACTTCTTGTGGGTTGTGGAGTACTTCCTTTACTTTCGGTAACACAAACCTATCTTGTTCATATTGATGATTGATCTCGCGTAAGTCTAGACATGTCCTTGCTTTCTTGAGGAGACCTGTTTGGTCATGTTCACCTGTTGATAACAACGGTACATTTTCTGTTGTTGGTGTAAGCCACCTCTGTACATTCTCATCCGTTTGTGTAATATACTTGTGAGGTACAAAGTTGACTTTAGCGTGCCTCATTTGTCTGACATTAATTTCACTTGCAGGTACTGTGACTGTGGAGCCCGGTAGGTTGCAATGTACGTCAGGAGGTATGTTCACGTTGATATCTAAGATATCTATAAGTGACTTCCTGAAACCTTCTTGTTCATGCTCAGGATCCTCTTCATGTGGCGTGAGGAGTGATTCCCATTTCGAATCTGTTGGTATAAGTGAATTGATTAGTCCTGCTATGTATATACCTATGTATGGTAGAATGTCTATACCGAATGTATCGGTGTCTTCTTGTCTGGTAAATGCAATACTTCAAAACACTGAGAGGTTTTCCTACCTCCATAATTAAGGTCACAAACTTCGGTTGATGCTGTGCGTTGTATTCTTGCATCTGTTTGTGCTAATTGTATATAACCCAGTTGCGCTCTGACGAAGAAATATAGTTCTGTTACTACACTCTTGTCCATGCATGAGCGTGGTGCGCCCGAGTCTAATAGTGCATTGTATGTATTTTCATTAATTTGTATATCAACGTGTAAACGTTGGTCTCGTGGGGCGGGAAGTTAGGATAAAGGTTGGTAATTTAAATCATTTGCATTTATTAACAACGTTTCTTCATCTGTATATACATTGAGCCTGTCAGCCAGGTCAATTCTGTTGCTTCCGCCCACCAGTTGTTTCAGTGCTCATCACCCTCCGTGATGTCGTCTACCTTGCCAGAGGTATTGTACAGTCTTGCTATTTGCACATCCTTCTTGACCTGTTCCTCAGTCTGCTTGGCCTGATTCGCAGCCTTATTGGGACATAGACTGAACCGATGTGGGGCTGGCATCACCTTACAATAGGGACATGGACGCCCCTTTCTTTTCTTGGGCTTGTCCTGTTCGGTTGGTTTGATTGAGTGCACCGCTGTCCGGTTTATGCCGTTTGTTAGTAGCGGTAGTGCTACTCTCGGCTTGGTTGGTTGTCTGCGTGTTTTGACGCTTGTTCTGCACTCTCATCCGTTTCCTTAGCATTCGGTCTCCTTGCACATTGGATGCCGCTCTTATGCTTGCCTCAGCCATAGTATGAAACTTAGTTTGTTCTATATCTGATAAGCGCCCCTCACCCCCATCAGGTTGTTTGTTTGCCTTGATGAGAGCATTCACCCGTGCTTGTTGCCTGTAGTACATAAGTGCGTGGTATCTTTGTACTTTGAGGAGTTGTAAGTGTATGGTATTCGTGTCTGAGTTGCGGTACCGCTCCTCTAATATTGCCATTGCCTTATGCACACGCTCTGTGCGCACTTCGACGTTCATCTTCTTGTTCTGCATGTCATTGAGAAACTTCTCTAACAGATAGTCTACTGGGTGAGGCCTGAGTCTGTCAAGAATGATTGTATTGAATTGCTCAGGTTCATTGAAGTGCTTAGTTGTATACGTCTCAGAATCTCTCAAGATATTGAGTTCTGACTTGGTCTTTTCCGTTGCATCAGTGGAATCTAATAGGGTTCTCACTAGTGCTGGGTACTGACACAGTGTCATGGGCTTTGCTAGGAATAGGTCACTACATCGCGTAGTGAACTCTATGATGTCTTCGCAATTTTCAATTCTAAAGTAACTATCTTTAGGGAGCTTAGGAGGTTCTGAAGTCTTTAGTAGTTCTGCGAGAGGTGGTTCATTTATCTGGTCGCCTAAGCTTGAACGCATGAGCTCTAACTCACTTAATTGAATGAGTTCATCCTCATTATAGTCTCCACACTCATTGATAGCTAAGTCATATCGTCGTCTGAGTTCTTTGTCAACCAGTGGCATGCGTAGTTCTGGTTGTTGGTCATGAACGCATACTCTCATCTTGTGTAGAGTCGGTATAGACACTGATGTTGGTTGTTCCAATTTGGAAACATACCTACTAACCAGAACATGGTTGCCTTGGCAGATGCTTTTGTCTATTTCTTGACGCATTGCTGAAGCTAGTATGGGTACCCCAGCCGGTGTAGACTGGCGGAACCACTATCTGGGCTTGTCCCCCCATTGGGATGACACTCGCACCATCCGTGCCCTCACTCCCTTCTCCACCACCATACACGTCTGCTCTGGTTGCCGTTGGCATCTTGAGGTGTCTGTGATGGTGTTAGGGTATTGCAGGTTATTAATAAAGATTCTAGCTATATTCTGCGCGAATGCGCACTTCACCCCCCTTGTCTTTAGTAAAAATTCGTATCAAATTTTTTTTTATAGTCTTTTTACTTACTATTGTAGTGTTGTTGCTTCGATGCATTTCCTCGAGAAGTGTTTACTGTTCCGTATGGTACGCTAGCTCGTTGCGTTGTTCCCTGTATTTATGAGGGTGTGAATGGAGTTTGTTCGTCAAGCTTAATTTGTCATGTGTGGACTTACTTGTGATTATTCCGTCATATGAGAAATCAATTTCTCATGTGTGATCTCAATGAGATGTACGGTCATAGTGACGTCATTTGGAAGTTCGGTCCCGGTGACGTCACCTCTTGTAGTTCAGTCCTGTACCGAACTGTGTGCACGGTGGTGTTTCCTATTACTTCCTTGCTCTAGGACTGGTTGTTTTCTTGATTGCTTTTGGGACACGTGTGTATGACAATGTGTGACCCCCTCACCTCCAATATATGGGCTTTGTGTGTTCTCTTGCTGATTGTCTGTAGTCAGGTGATGCCTTTGTACTGTTCTTTGTACCCAATTTCTTTCCAGTTCTGTCTTTACTGGATCTGTGTTGTGCAATGATAATGTGAATCGATTTGTACTGTCACTGTCTCCTTGGGTGTCTCTATACCCTGCGTGTTCATATGACCAAGTTCTGTTCAAAATAGTGGTCTGATGTTCACTGTGATATGATCACCTTGTTCGGTACTATTCTTGTGACATGTCACTTTTTCGTGTTTTGTGTCCTGGTGACACTGTATGCTATACTCATTCACGTTTGTATTGGTATGTCATCATCACTTCATTGAACTTATTGTTCGTGATTCTTTTGATGTTTTTGTTTAATGTGTGGTGTTCTCTTTGTCAAGCTGATTGCTTTTCAAAGTAATAATAATAGACTCCCTCGGATTGTGTGGCGTCTATGTTTTTTGGTTGTCGTTCTATTTCTACTGTTCTTCTTCGTATAATCATACATCTCGTGATGTGTGGGTGGTCTCGTTACCCTTTTGATGTCCCTTATTCATATATTCGATGTCGATTGCATTATGATTTTTCTTTGGGTTATCTGGTAAGAGATTGTCACTCACTGATATCTGTGCTATGTTCCTGACAAGTTTTCTTGCAGGGATGTTTCCTGTTGCTAATAGTTTAGCCCGCAATTATTATGTTCGCATGGCTGATTTCATCAGGTCTGTGTATATGTCTGTTGTTTTGTTTATGCCTTGTGTTCGTTGTGGCTATCTGCTAATATTAGCTGGTCTAATATTAAGATATTAGATGTGTGTGCATCTCTAACCTCCTGATCGAGTTTAAAGCTTGTGAATGTGTGCACAATCGATCTCTCAATCGAAATAAAAAAACTATCAATCTAAATCAGATTCGCGTGTTGATAGCTTTACCTTTGTTATGGCTCTACTCTAGCTGCTAGTTCTACTTGCAATGAAGTTGACTTTGTCATCTCTCACTGACATTGGCTCGTTTCTCATTACTATCTGTTTTAAGTGTTTTGTACACTTGATCTGAGTCTATGGTGCCTTAGTCTATGATTGTTCAAGATTCGAATCTTTATTTTCTTTATTAGTGTACAACTTGGGGTGTCTGTTTATAATGTTGTCGATTTCTTGCCCCCTGCTTCTAGACTATTGTGTTCTTGATTGTGTTCTTTCGTGGAATCATCTCGTGTGATGTTGAATAATCTTTTGGTGATGCCTTATGTGTGTATTTGAGCTTCAATGTCACTTTTTGTGAGTGTCAGCCTGTGTTGTCACTATAGCAGTCCTCCTGATTGGAATGTTGTGCCTCTGTTTATTGACTATACACTTTCTGGTCACGTTTTGGTGTGCTTGTGTTGTTGAGTAGCATTGAACCTCCTCAATCACGTTTTTATTCGTTTTGCATGTGATTGTTCTTAGAAGTTTGTGTTCTTGCGTATCTCAATGTTGTGTGTTTCCACTAGATATGATTGTATCTAGCGTGTCTTTAGCTTTGTCTCCTTGAGACCTTCTTATTGCTTGTCAATTGTACTCGCTTGTGCATACACACCCTTCTCTAATATTCTAGAATTAATTCCTCATCCGATTTGATGAACTGATTTCAGTGACTAGTGTGCTCTGCTAGTTTCAATGCACGCTTGTATGGTCGTGAGACACTGTTGTGTCTTTAGTGTGGTACCTGTATTGGTTTTCTTATTGTATTCTTGTATGTGATCAATGTTGACGTGATTTAGGTGCCCCATTTGATTTCTCGCTTCACCTACGATCTCACTTCGTTGCAGTGATGCCTGTTGCCGTATTTGTTCTTAAGGAACCTTCACCACATGTGTATTCTATGCATATAGCTGGAAAGTGCTTAGTATGATACCCGCATCTGTCTACTTTTGGTATTTCTGTGTAAGGTCAGCTTGATGTGATTTGGGCATCTAAATTGATTCCCCTCTTCTAAACCGATCAAACCTCTTTGAAATATGCTCTTATCACTGTCTACTGGTTCATGAATGCCCTTGTATTGTACTTGTGATATGTTGTTTCTACATGTACAGTTCCTATATTCTCTATACAGCGTGTCTCTATTTGCGTAGCTTAAATGTATTCCATGTAATTTCGAATGCTTATCAATACATGTGATTTCAATTGCTTATCAATGTATCAGTAGGCTTTGTTTCCTGTCTTGAGGTCGATTTTCTCGAGTCACGCCTTTGTTGTAACTCACCTCCTTTTGCAATAGTTTCTCGCAGGTGTATTAGTTTGTAGACTTCTAATTTCTAACTAGTTGGTAAAGATTATGTCACTCGTGTTGTTTTGTCACTAGCTATCTTGTTCTGTTGTGCAGGGCCCCTGATATTAGTGGATTTTCTTGTTCGAAAATCCCCTAAACATTGATTTATTAATCAATGTGACACTTCCAGTTTTTCTACACACTGAGGTTCTCTTTTATGAAACTGATAGCACTTGTATTGGCTTGACACGTGTCCAGCTTACTTCAATATGGTTACCTTGTTTGTTGTCCTAAGGTCACGCTTTCCGCGGAGAGTCTCTTAATTTTGCTCTTCCTTGCTCTTCTGTCTTCGGACGTGCTGTAGAATGGCTTCAACTTCAGAGCTAATACTTTCGAGTTGTGTTTAGATAGGGATGAATCTTGGTTCACTAATTACGATGATTTTCTTAGTGTATTGTGATTCTTGTTGACTTATCTAAGTAAGGATATTGTAAAAAATGTAGAGTGTGGAGAGTAGCTGAAAGTGCGAACCAAAAGATACAATAGACCTTTTCTCAAGTACGGTTATCTCAGCTAGGAAAAGTCTCTAGTCTGAGAGAACCGAACTGAGTCTTTATTTGTGTTTTCACTAGACTCAGGATTTACTTGAGTGTTTCTCTCATACGCGGAGTCCCGGTATAACTTACCGGTTCTACCGCTAAATTTTTTGATGACTCTAATAATATCAGAAATATTCCAATTCTATTTGCAAAACTCAATATTTGATTATCCTAGGTTCTGGGATTTGGATTGGCTTTTTTTTGTTTTTTGATAATCTGGTCCCTTGATGCTACACATCTCTTTTAACTCAGGGGAGGATTCCACCGTTTCCCCCACCGCACTTCCCACCTCCCTCTCTCCCCCTTTTTCAGTGGATTCCATTAACCAATCCCTCTAACCGCACATTACTCGTCACCCGTCCTCACGCACTCTCCGCGGTTTAATCTTACCTCCTCGTGTCAATAGTGGTCTCCTCAATACCTCTGCTCTCTCCAACAACATGCGTATGACCCGCCAACGTGCACGACAAATGACAGCTCATCATCACCAATCCCGCCACCAAGTGGCAGCTCTCCTCGATATCCCCACTTCAACGCTCTCCTCACGCGTCCAACGGTCACCTGACCTTGAAATCACCGGCCTCATACTCGACCCCCTTACAAGTCCCCATTCCCACTCCCTTCCCGTCACTATATTCTCAAAGGAACTTGCACTCAAGTACAAATGTGACAATCGTTCCCTTCATCTTATTCGGACAAAACGCCAAAATACAGCCGACAAACATCTGCGTCGTGCAACACGCCGTACTGTTCGTCCCCTCCTCAGTCCCCTCTTACATCCCACTTCTTCTGCCCCACCACCACTCGCTTATCCTACCCGGCCGGCTGATGCCGTCAACACTCCTGTCGATGTCTCGCACCCTACTCACCTCACTTCTCCGCAAACACTTTTCAATGACACTGCGAACAAGATCTACACTCTTTATGCTTCTATTCAATCCGACCCATCGCCCCAAAATTCATTTATAGTACCCTCCGTGGTGACGACGCTGACCTTTGGCGAGCTGCCATTCAGCGTGAACTTGACAGCCTTGCTAAAACCAGTACTTACGATCTTTTACACCCTGATGACGTCCCCGATGATGCCTTCGTCGTTTCCAGCAAATGGGTCTTTAAGATAAAATGATCGACGGTATCGTCGATAAATACAAGGCCCGATTATGTGCGCATGAGTTCACTCAAACCCAAAGTATCGACTACAACGAAACCTTTGCCCCCACTAGTTCGCATGAGACACTCCGTTCCGTTCTTGCTGTTGCTGCATCTCAGGGCTGGATGGTTCAGCAAATAAATGTCGACACTGCCTATTTATATGCTGACTTGTATCAACCTATTTACATGCGTCCCCCTCCTCGTTCCGCCTCC